ATTAAAAATTGACACAATTTAAAAAAAAAAATACGAAAGGCTAACGGTATTTTTTTTAAAGTATAATTATATTAAAAGTATAAAATTAATTATATTTTTTTCAAACTTTAGAGGAGATGAGTATAATTTACCCTTTTTAAGGTGACTATAATTATAAAAGACTCCATAATTAAAAACCAAGCTAAAAAACAATTGGCGCAACCATATAGGCCTAAAAACGTAATATAAGCCTTGGGCCGGCCCATATTCACCCTTACACTCACCTTTATACGTCTTGAAAGAGGTTTTCATAAGTTTAATAAGTGAATGAACACAAAATAGACCATATAAAATAGGGGGAGTTACGGGCCGCTTTTATGGACCAGTCTTATTACTCAGCAAGTTCTATTTAAAAAAATTAAATAGTATTTTTCATTTTGGAATTTTTGGTGAAAAGCCCCTTCTATGGGACCTATTTTGTCTGAAGCCCACGGATGAAAACAATGGCCCCAAAAGTCTCTCAATTAAAAAAATAACATGAATTGACTGAAATGCCCATCCATATATAAGGGGGAAAATATGAAACAATTGCACCGTTTCTCTTCCTTCCCTCTGTTTCATCGATTGAAAACCCTCATCTCCTCTGAATATCATCATTCGAAAACCCTAGCAACGATTGAAACCCTTCTCTAAGTCTCATTACTCTAGCTCTCTGAAGCTACTTCGTTACAGTTTCGTCGATTGAAACCCTTGCAAGGTTATAGGTTCGTCGCTTGGTTCGTCGCTTGCGCTCGAATCAAACTCGGCATTACGCTTTACTCTCTCTCTTGGACACACATTTTACAGGTGATTTTGTCCTCTTTCTGCTAGTTTTTCGATATTATGAAGTCTGTGTGGGTTTGTTTTCATTTTGGGAGCAGCGAATGAGATTACGTTGGGTGAGTAGAATTTGGGATTTTTGGTTGGACTAAGGATCATCTGTTCTAAAAATTTAATCACTATTTTAAAATACTTTAAATTACTAAATCATGTGAGAATGTTAAGGTTTAAAAATTTTGAAAACTAATTTAGGTATTTCGAAATTACAGAGTAAAATTTTACTTTAAGTCTAGCCTTTGCTCATTACGCTTTGATTTCTGTAGTGTTTTGATCCTGCAATTTCAATGCTTTGAAATTCACTTGCTTCATGAATTTTTCAGAGTAAAATTTTACTTCCAATCAGAGTAAAATTTTACTTATAATGAGAGTAAAATTTTTCTTATTACAGAGTAAAATTTTACTTTAAATCTAGCCTTTGCTCATTACGCTCTGATTTATGTAGTGTTTTGAACCTGTCATTTCAATGCTTTCAAATTCACTTGCTTATAATAAGAGTAAAATTTTACTTATTACAGAGTAAAATTTTACTTTAACTCTAGCCTTTGCTCATTACGCTTTAATTTCTGTAGTGTTTTGGTCCTTCCATTTCAATGCTTTCAAATTCACTTGTTTATAATGAGAGTAAAATTTTACTTATTATAGAGTAAAATTTTACTTTAACTCTAGCCTTTGCTCATTACGCTTTGATTTCTGTAGTGTTTTGGTCCTGCAATTTCAATGCTTTCAAATTCACTTGCTTCATGAATTTTTCAGAGTAAAATTTTACTTCCAATCAGAGTAAAATTTTACTTTCAATAAAAGTAAAGTTTTACTGTCAAACAGAGTAAAATTTTTCTGTCTCATTACAATGCTTGTGCATTTTGTTTAGTGCTTATTTGTTTTGTCACATTGTTGTTTACAATAAAATGTTACACTATTGATATAGGGAAACTTTTTAATGTTTGAAAATGGTTGTTACAAGAAGCAAATATGGTGATGATGATGATGATGATTTTGAAGTTCCACCAACGGTTATACAAAAGAAGAAAGTCCCTAAAAAAAAGAGCAAAAGTAGTGAAGAAAGTCCTTCGAAGTTGAATATTGTACATGAAGTACGGGAGAGAGAGAACTATATGAAACAATATAGGTCAAATATTGTTTCATTGATAAACCTAATGCGAGACACGAGGTTCACCAAAAGACACATTACTGCCCTTGAGAGAACACCTTTTGGGATGCTGTTTAAATGTTTTTGGAAGAAAGATGATGTGGTGTTAAAGAAGTTCAAGAAAGTTGATGATAATGTCATGGATGTGATCAAATCTTATGACTTTCATGCAAAGGGATTTAAGCTTGAGGGGAAAACATGTGACATACGGGACAGTGATGTTTCTTTGATTTTTGGGATAAAATCGGGAACGAAAAAAGTAGATGTGTCATATGGAAAGAAACAAGAATCACCTTTTGTGCAGAGAAGGTTTCGTAATATGTCAAGAATATCTGTAAAGAGTTTGCGAGAGGCATTAGGAGATGCGTTGGAAGGCACAACGAAAGTTGATGTTGAGGATGTTGCACGAATAATGTGCCTATTTGTTGTGGCGACTTTGCTATTACTAACAACTGGTCTAACAGTTGGATGGGCCTTTGTCGCCCTTGTAGAAGATTTGGAAATGATGAATTCGTATGCATGGTCGACTGCAGTTGCATCCACGTTGACTACTTCAATCCATTCTTCATTAGGAAGTCCTGAAAATGTCACTGGATGTGTACTTCTTCTTTTGGTAAGTAAATTGAACTACTTTAAATATTATGCAATGTGTCTTTAGAGAATTAACTAATTTCGATTTTTTATTTTATAGTACTTGTTATGCGAGCATACTACCCTCATTCAACCTCAAGGAAAAAATTTGTGTCCAAGGCTCCTTCGATGGGACTTATCAACATTAAAGAAAAAGCTAATGAAGAGGTCATTGCAAACACTAAAGCCCGAAGAGGTATCATCTTTCCAAACTCAACCTTACTGGTTCACTTTGTTTAAAATTACACTTACATAATAAAATCTTACTCTTGAACAGAGTAAAAGTTTACTTACAGTCAGAGTAAACTTTTACTTTGAAACATAGTAAAATTTTACTTACTCTTGAACAGAGTAAAAGTTTACTTACAATCAGAGTAAACTTTTACTTTGAAACAGAGTAAAATTTTACTTACTCTTAAACAGAGTAAAAGTTTACTTACAGTCAAAGTAAAAGTTTACTTACAGTCAAAGTAAAAGTTTACTTTAAATCAGAGTAAACTTTTACTTACAGTCAGAGTAAAATTTTACTTACTCTTGAACGGAGTAAAAGTTTACTTTAAATCAGAGTAAAAGTTTACTTTAAATTAGAGTAAAATTTTACTTACAGTCAGAGTAAAAATTTACTTACTCTTGAACAGAGTAAAAGTTTACTTTAAATCAGAGTAAACTTTTACTTACCGTCAGAGTAAACTTTTACTTACTCTTGAACAGAGTAAATGTTTACTTAAAATTAGAGTAAAAGTTTACTTACAATCAGAGTAAACTTTTACTTTGAAACAGAAGTTTACTTTAAATCAGAGTAAACTTTTACTTACCGTCAGAGTAAACTTTTACTTACTCTTGAATAGAGTAAATGTTTACTTAAAATTAGAGTAAAAGTTTACTTACAATTAGAGTAAACTTTTACTTTGAAACAGAGTAAAATTTTACTCTAGTGGTTAAAGTTTGCTTAATTGCTGGCTTCTTTTCTTTTTCTATTTTTCAAATGCAGGTAAATCACAATGAACTGAAGCCCATTTCCAGAGAAGAAATGGAACTCATTTGCAACGATGATGAAGAAGATGCATTGGACATAGAGGAAAATTTGGAGACTGAAGAAGATGCATTGGACATGGAGGAAAATTTAGAGACTGAAGAAGATGAAGATCATGTAGCTGAAGCTTTAGGAGATGATCAACCTTTGAAGGATTTTATTGATCTTCAAAAGGAAAACAAGAGGCTGAAAAGTGAGAATATGGCGTTGGTTGAAGAACTAAAGAAAATGAGGGAAACAATGCAAAAAATAGAAGATGATCAAGAGGCAAAAACAAAAGAAACGATGGAAAAGATGAGCAACACAGAGAAAGAAATGGAGAAACTGAGAAAGGAGATTGAAGAACTCGAATCTAAAAATAAACAGTTGGTTGAACAGATTGAAGAAAATGCAGTTCATACGGTTACCCAAGGTTTTGCTTCTAAAGAAACACCACATGCTAAAGGAGTAGAACAAGAGCAAAACATTGGGATTCAAAGTACATTAAAAGAAACACCTATAGTCGTAGAGCCATTGCAAACATCCATGGTCAGAAAAATCAAAATCAAGGCGAGGAAGAAAAAAGAGATGTCGGATTTTGAATGTGAGCCAAGAGAGGCAAAGAAAAAAAAGACCACAAAACAAACAATTGAAGTGATGTCAAAAGAAGTGATTTGTGTTGACAACTTGCCTCTAAGCCAAGCAAAGCCAGTTGAAAGGGTTTTGTTTCCAGATAAGGCTGCAATGTGCAAATTGCTTGATGAGAATGATAAGTGTCTACTAAACAAGATTTACAATTTGGAAACCACAGAGTAAGACCATTTTAATTTTGTCAAACAACAGATTTTTATTGTTATCAAACTGCAACGTGTTAATCAACATTTTTTTTACCTTATGACTGGTGCAATCATATGGTCCGGCACAGGAAATGAAGTATATGTTACATTGCATGATGTGGATGCAATTCTGAGAGATGGTGATACTGCAAATAATGTAAGTGGCCATACAAGTTTCAATGACTAGTGTTCACTTCAATAACTAAAAATAGTTCATTTTATTAACATATATTTAATTGATTTTTGTTTTTGTAGGTCATTAACAGCTTCATAGAAATGCTTGAGATTGAGCAACAAGTCAAGAAGCCAGAAAAGAATAAATCATTCTTTTTCTCAAGCCTTTGTTGGGTAAGCCATCAATTTGTATTTAGTTTGAATTGATAAATTTTTACTATGGTTTAGTGTAACATTGTACTGTATTTTGGAGTTAATTTTTACTATTTGGTTTGCCAAACATTGACAACTCATACAGTGTGTCACTAACACAACTTGAGACATGACACTCTTATATGATTAAATGCAGTCTTTAGTGAAATGGGGTCATGGGGAGCTGAGAAATCATTTAATTGATAAAGTACTTGAACAAGATTTGAGTGGATATAGATACCTTTATTTTTGCATGAATTCCAATGGGAACAAAAAGGAAGAAAAACCCTACCACTGGACACTTCTTGTATTTGACACTGAACTTGATGAGTGGAGACATTACAATTCTTTAAGGCCAAAAGACAACAGAGAAGATCCTTACCTTAAGGATGCAAAAAAGATTGTAAGTGCTTTGCATCATATTAACAGTAATTTTTTGCTGTGTTTTATTCTTGAATTTAATCGTGACCAAACAATTATGCAATGATGTTAGATAACATATGTGGATAGCAAGTTGGCCAACAAAACGAAGAGAGGTAGAAGAAAGTTTTCAAACTTGGTTTCGGTGAAAGATAGTCCACAACAACGCCCAACATCGTAAGTATTTCACGCTACTATTACATGCTTGAATTGGTAGTTTTCAAATTTGACTAAATCTAACAAGATATTGATTTTTATTTAACAGTGTTGATTGTGGAATTATTGTATGTTATATCATGTGCCAAATCATAAGAGATGAGTCTATTGCAAATTCTATGGAAGATGATGAAATTAACAATTTCCGAGCATCAATAGTGCATCAATTTTTGAATAATTATCCAAAAGCATGGACTGAGGAACACTTCAATCTCAAAAAAAAAATGGGCAAGAGCTAAGACCTCAAGGATGACAATGTGGACAAGTTCTGGGGAACTACTGTGAATGATTTTTGTAATTTCGATTTTTGTAAATGAAAGAACGGTGAAAAAGTAATTGTAAGTGAAAGAATACTAAAAGAGTATTAGCTAGTACATGCTATGTCTATTGTTCTAGTAAATTTTACTGTGGTTTGGTGATTAATATATTATTATAGAAGGATATTTGTTTTGACTGGGAATGAATGTTGTTATGGATAGAATACAATGATACAGGTAGAGGCTTAAATTTTTTTTGACTGAATGTTGCTATGAATGTTGCTATGAATTTTGTTTTGACTGGGAATGTAAGTGGAATGAATGTTGCTATGAATGTTGTTTTGACTTGGAATGAATGTTGATGATATATGTAGTTGTATTGTTAGATTTTTTTTGCACAAAGATTGCATGATGATCATCAGGGGAGTTTGTGTGTTCTGGTAAATTTTGGTGCAGGTTGGAAATGTTTTTCTAAGGGGACTAACATATTTTCTGAAATAAAGTAAAATTTTACTCTGAAATGAAGTAAAATTTTACTCTGTATAAAAGTAAAATTTTACTTTATATTCTGAAAGATGATTAAATTGTTGCACTCTGAATCTAAAAGTAAAATTTTACTCTGCATAAAAGTAAAATTTTACTCTGAAATAAGAGTAAAATGTTACCAGAAGAATCTAAAAGTAAAATTTTACTCTGAAATAAGAGTAAAATGTTACTAGAAGAATCTAAAAGTAAAATTTTACTCTGCATAAAAGTAAAATTTTACTCTGAAATAAGAATAAAATGTTACACTCTAAATCTAAGAGCAAAATGTTACAGCTGGAATAAGTAAAATTTTACTCTGTACAAAAGTAAAATTTTACTCTGTATGAAAGTAAAATTTTACTCTGAAGGGCGAGTAAAATTTAGACTCTAAATCTAAAAGTAAAATTTTACTCTGTACAAAAGTAAAATTTTACTCTGTATGAAAGTAAAATTTTACTCTAAAGGGCGAGTAAAATTTGGACTCTAAATCTAAAACCAAAATGTTACTCTGCACTAAAGTAAAATTTTACCCTCCATAAAAGTAAAATTTTACTCTGAAATAAGGTAAAATTTTAATATAAAAGTAACATTTTACTCTGAACATAGTAAAATTTTACCGTAAAACCACAGGCTCATCACACATATAGACAACCATTCAACGACAAAACAAATCATAAACTAGAACAGACAACCATTCAAGAACATAGTAAAAATGTCTTTTATTGCAACATCTCCTTACAAATCTAGTCTAAAAGACTATACTATTATTGCTATGGACTACTTATTGCAGAAGAACTGCATTATTTTCATACTTCTATTACAAAATCAATAATGTCTTTCACGACAATGCCTCATTGCAAGTCTTTCTATTATGACCGTACTTCTCGCATTTACCACATTGTACTCGTCTTATCTTCTCACCCCCAGATGAGATCCTATTCTTCCTTGGCCTACCATGTGGCTTCTTACAAATTGGAGGAAGGACAACAAAATCATCCATAGCTACAAGAGGTTTCTCAACAGTGGGTATTGGATAAATGGACTCAGCATAGCAATCTTTGAACTTGCTAGTGTAATAAAATGGTTCCACATGTGCATACAAATCACCTCCGCTTTTGGATAGCTGTCGTCGCGTGAGCACAAAGAAATCCATTCAATTGCCATTGGTAACATGAGCAAGTTCTATTCAAGAGGTCAACGCTAACCGATGGCCGGGATTGAACCTCAAAAACATGATCACTTGAACGACTAACCAACCAAGTTCTTCCACTTTTAAGAGCATTTACTAATGTTGAATCCATCTCCGGACAAAGGAAAGTATTCCATTTCTTAGCTTGTTCTCTCCTTCTCGACATCAAATCCATGATCTTCAACCTAATTGAATCAATTATCTTTGTAATGGGCAAATGGCGAGCTTAACGGATCCATGAATTGAAAGACTCTGCCACATTCAAGTGCATTTCACCGTATTTTCGTCCTTTACAATATGCATTAGTCCACTTGTCATAGGGAAAATTGGATAGAAACCCACAAACGATCTCTTTTTCCTCATCTTGTAATTCTTTCAAGCACTAATTAAAACATCCCACTGTCGGAGCGTAAGCACACAAAGAAAACAAAAAAACTATTCTACTCTTGAAAATATTGCTGAAACTTGGACCAGAGAACCTATCCCTCAAATTGGCCTTCAAGTGTTGGGACAAAAATAGTGGTGAGCAGTAGGTAAAACCTTGGGTAAAGCCTCCAAAAGTCTAGCGTTCCGATCAAATATGAAGGTAATTGGTATTTTATCCAACAATATATTCGACAAATGCATAAAAAACCATTCCCAACTGTCTGTAGTCTCTGTATCGACAATTGCCATTACAAGAGGGAAAAAACCTGAAAAATAACATTTTACAATTAGTAAGTATATTAAACGAAAAGGACAAATATAGTAGATTTTTACTCTAAATAACAGTAGCATGTTAATCTGAGAATAAGTAACTTGTTACTTTGGAATAAACTGTAGTAATATCTACCTTGATCCCCATCATTCGTTGTAGCTGTTAACAAGGTGCCCTTATATTTCCCCTTCAGAAAAGTTCCATCGATAAACAATAGAGGACGGCAATGCCTAAACCCTTGAATGGAAGCATTAAATGCAACAAAAAACCTTTTGAACCGTCCACTTTGATGGTTATAGTCAAGATGCAAATAGCTACCAGGATTTGTGCTCATCACAATAGCCATATACCATCGAATCTCATCATAAGACATAGAGAAATCTCTAAAAGTAGTAGTCCTAGCTTTCTCAACTCCCAACCAAGTGTGATTGTACGTAATGGTGAGCTCGTATTGATCTGTAAATTGACGCACAACATCAATTGGACGAGTTTGGGGATTCCCACGAACTTCATTAACAATCAAACTTGCAACCAAATTTGAACTCATCCTTGAGTTTTTAGAAGTACGAACTGCAGCTCCACAAGTATGCTTATCATGTAGAGTCCTAATGTAGAAAAAATTATTAGCACTTTCTAGAGATGCATCTACTCGCCATAAACAAGCTTTCGACTCCCGCATTGAACACACAGCAGTGACCCGACACTTCTCATTCTTCACATACACAAACTCAAATCCTATCTCAATGGCATATTTACATAATGCAGTCCGGAAATCCTTTGCACCTCCAATAAATTTTTGACCTACATGAGTAATTTCATTCACCCATCCACAAGGCAACAAAGTCCTTTCTTCATGTTGACAAAACATAAGGAGTAAATCCATTCCATCATCAGTAATGTTGGATCCAGTAGCGTCCCCTGATTCTCCAACTCCATGTTTTTCATTTGAAATGCCCATTTCAGTAATAGTCACATCAACCTGGTCAACACTAAGGGGATAAACAAGCGACAACATATTCTGAAAATCAGAATCATCATCAATCATGCATTGCGAATGTCCAGGCAAATAGTACGATAACAGTATGCAACCACTATTATCAAACTTCTTCAATTTACAACTTAAGAAATTAGTTAAATCTTTCAACATGCAGTTTGACACAACCTTGAACACAATGGTACGATCACCATACTTGCATAACAACATAAGGGGTGGAACCATTTTACAAATCTGCAATCAATTAACAGTAAAATTTTACTGTCACTATCAAAGTAAAATTTTACTATCACTATCAAAGTAAAATTTTACTGTCACTACAATTTGTGTTTAGTTTGAATTGATAAAATTTTACTGTGGTTTAGTGTAACATTGTACTATATTTTAGAGTTAATTTTTACTATTTAGTTTGCCAAAGATTGATAACTCATACAGTGTATCACCAACACAACTTAAAACATGAATCTAAAAGTAAAATTTTACTCTGCATAAAAGTAAAATTTTACTCTGATATAGGAGTAAAATGTTACAAAAGGAATCTAAAAGTAAAATTTTACTCTGCATAAGAGTAAAATTTTACTCTGAATCTAAGAGTAAAATGTTGCGGCTTGAATTTGGAAGTAAAATTTTACTCTGTATAAAAGTAAAATTTTACTCTCATTGTAAACAGAGCAATCGAACCAGAGTAAAATTTTACTCTGATATAGGAGTAAAATGTTACAAAAGGAATCTAAAAGTAAAATTTTATTCTGCACAAAAGTAAAATTTTACTCTGCATAAGAGTAAAATTTTACTCTGAATCTACAAGTAAAATGTTGCGGCTTGAATTTGAAAGTAAAATTTTACTCTGTATAAAAGTAAAATTTTACTCTCATTGTAAACAGAGCAATCGAACCAGAGTAAAATTTTACTCTCATTCTCTGAAACAAAAGGCACAACAATAGAACCAGAGTAAAATTTTACTCAGATTCTATCAAACGAAATCAAATCAAACACAACAAAAATAAATCAAAAAAAAAACAAACAAAATTAATTAACAAATCAACATGTCTAATTGAGAAGAAAAACCTTTACAACTCGATCAACAATCACAAATCTTAATGAAACTCTCGTTTAATTGAGAGTGTTGATCATCGGCCACCAAGTGAGAGATGTTCGACTGCGAGATCTTCAGATTTAGAGATCGTCTTCATCGATTTTGTAAAGTATGATCGATTTGGAGATCGTCTTCATCATCTTCATCGGCTGCGAGCTCAGATTTCAAATTGTTCATACGTATGATACTATATATATAAGGGCAATATTGTGATAAAAAAAAATAGAAATTATAAAATGTCCTTATTAAGGTAGGCATTTCCTACTCAGGGACTTTTTGAAAGAAAATTGATTGGGTTATCCTTTACCCTAATAAAAAGGCCCAAAAGGGAGGTTTCATCAAAAATCTCTTTCATTTTTACTTCTAGACTTAACATTGCAAATTTATCACTGGTTTAAACAAATTTATCACCGGTTTAAACAAATTTATCACTGATTTATCACTAGTTTAAAAAAATTTATCACTGGTTTATCATTGATTT